ATGAACTGAGCAGGCGGAAGGAGCGGAAAGGTAGTGAGGCTTTGTGTTTGTTGATTATGAAGTGTAATTTAGAGGCACAGATGGACGCGGACGAAATGTATAACGTTGATTACGTCAAGGAACGGCACAACAATTGCGCTTGCTGCACATCCTGCTCCGCTTTTTGCACTTCTAAAAAGCGCGATAAAACGAAGAAAAGGATTCCATTACCTCGAGCACCCGTACGTTCTTTTACACATCTTCGCCCTTCCACGTTTGGAAAATTCAGGAAACGTAGGGCCACTGAAGCCCATTTCATCTCTGCTGGATCAGCCTGTCAAAGGTCCACACACACATACACACACACACACACAACAAACACACAGATCATATCATCACTTGGCCATTTACTGCCAAGCTAATATTTCATTTATTTCAGCCATATTTATCGGGAAAAGTTGGGCAGTTTTCCCTGTTCCAGCAACGCACATGCTACGGTTGGTGGCCATGCGTTAGCACCTCATTGCCGGATGAGCAGGTTAGACCTGAACCCATATTACATTTTTGATTGTTTCCTTCTTTACTTTGCTCCTCTTTTCCCTTTCCCACTAAAAAGTAGCACCGACTCGTAGCTAATTTGCCTCAGTCTATCGGTTGTGAAATAAGCGATGATCTTTCGCGGCTACCGGGACGATAAGAATTACAGAAATTGGATTTTGACGCCAGGAAGAAGAAAGATGACGATTTCGAGGCGCAAAAGCAATATGTCACGGGTGCGGTGGAACTTGAAATGACGCTGCTAACAGCGGAAGAAGCAAAGGCTGACCCGGTAGGGAAAAAGCGCAAAAAGCCAAACCACGTTAGTTCCTTCTACTCCTTGCTTCGCATCTTAAAAGTGCTCTCCATTTTCCGGGGACTATTTTGGGACATTTCAGAACTCTCGATCTTTTTCAGTCGCCATATCTTCCAAAGCCGAATCGCTCCCGTTTCGACGAATTCTGGTGCCTATCACGGACGCATGCATGCTGTAGTATGTGCTGGCATAACTGGGGCAAGCAGTGCGTTCTTATATCATTAGCTGTCCTAATTGCAGTCGTTCTGATCGCCGCATTCGTTTACAAGCTGCCTGATATTATCGCTGCGAAAGTGTTTGGTACACGTTTGTGAATCACGTGGGTTCACATATTTGAGTGATTTACGATCAGATAATCGCACGCTCATCGTTCCCTCCACCGTACCGTTTTATGCTAGTTTCGGTGGTCATTGAATCTGTTGTGTTCATCTTTCTTGTTGTTTCCGCTTTTATCACTTATCATCTTTATCATTCCACCAGATATTTATTGCATTTGTTGTTGTTTACGCAGATTCTTGCTAAATTACACTCACCTGAACAAGGTCACACTTTTTCGAAATTAAGTGACCCTTCTCATGCACAGTATTAATCTACTGTTACTATGAAAATGTTGCGCACTCCGTTTTGTGTTCGGCCCGAGTGGCTCCACTGGATGCACTTTATTAATATCCACAGTAAGTGCAGTTGTCTCCTTTCCACCCCTTCAGTGTTTGAAGAGGTTTTCAGCAGCAGCCCCTCTTCGTCAAAAAGCTTTTCAAGTCTTTTTATTGATGCACTAGATGCAATGGATGCTAATTGAAGGCATGCAGTTTAGGCTGAAAAGGCGTAGCATGACTGCACTTAGCAAGCTAGTGCATTCCAGAGACCCCAGTAACGTCCGAACTCCAAACGGACTGCTCGTACCGTTTTTGAACTTTGTTTGTGAAAAAGCATGTCCAGGATCTCAGAAGATCCATTCTTGTATAAAATGAAAAACTTGCGTCAAATAAACATTCATGTTCAAAAATTTATACCACTACTTTAAAAATTTATTAACGAAGCCTGTCATGTGTGACACATCTGTGGAGGTTCGCTACGCAAACTTCCGTAAGCCTTGTAATTTTTCCAGCCCTAGCACACCACCCCTTGAAGGCCCTGGTGCGAGTTCGTTTTTGTTGCTGCTCAGTATTGTTTTAGTCTAGCAACTTAGCCCGGCATATCGCTCTGTTACCGAAGCTCCAATTTTAGCCTTGTTGTCGTCAAATCCTGTTGAGTTGGTCGCGCGCGATTTGACGAGGCCAAATGAGTTTTATGCAGATGAAAAACAAATACCAATTTGCATTTTTTGTTCAACATTCTGAAGACGGAGAAGTGGTGGCAGAGCTTCGTGCATTATAAATATGCGACCTATGCAGGGTATAATTCATTTCATAAACTTGCTTCTTCCTGACCACCGACTAACATCATGCGTCACGTAAGCAGTATTTTTCAAGCATAAGGCCTACTCTCTGGTCAAGGCCAGGACAGCATGTTTTGTCTAGCAGCAGAATGCAAGATCCACTGCACTAGATTCGGTGTGGCTGCCGGATCAAATTGTCTTGTCCTGTACAGCTCCGTGAACGTCGCATTTGAGCGCATCAGGATTGCAGGGCGCGTCAGTTCACATTGATTTGTTACGCCTAATAGCAGCACACAGCGGCGTGAAAATGCGATCACGTCTCTCGCAGATGAACAAAGAGTGCAACAAACATTTGCGCCACTGGGACAACATACATCGCATCTTGTTCGACGTCTCATTCATGCCCTCAGGTTTTTACCGAACAGTCTAAGGCAAAAAAACCGCGAGCAGACTCCTAAACTGATAATTATGGCTTACTAAGTGCACATTTTGCATAACATCCCGGAGATCGGCTCGCCGGAACACGAGTTTTTAATATCACCATTACGATTAATGCAGAAAGCTCGAGATTCAGCAAAACCCTACTCATTTCGCTCTCATAAATGAGTTTTGCGTTTGCTTACTCCAAGCTCAAACGGCAACCTGAGCTTAGATATCAGACGTAGCGAAGTCTTTCGACCTACGATTTCCACAGGGAGCACGCGAATTCCGCGAAATTACATTGTGGATGAGTGCCGCTTCTAACTCGTCCAGCAAGAAATTCCTTCACCTGAGCCTTAAAGGAACTTACTGGAATTTCGAGTAACAGAAGTATCAAGAAAATTTCGTGAAGAGGCATAAAAAATTATGCAGACTTTCGCAGGTAGGGCAAATAAAAAGCAAAGCAAAACGTCCAATTTCTTCTTGGAGTTGAAACACAAAAATAATTTTTGGACGAAAAAGTTAGCTGAATTCAAGTAGGACTGCACCTAGTTCGTGGACCCTAAAGTCAGCCACATTAAATTTGAACAGTGACTGTATCGGAAAAATATAAAAGTGTGCTACATTTTGGAAACGAGCACTTTTTGGAATTCCGAACTCGCAGTACGTTTCAGGCGATACCCAGGTCACCGTCAATTTCAACAATGAAGAATTTTACAAGAGATTTGCTGATTCTGAGGAGGTAAATCCGATTTGCTACATATGATCACAACATTCCTCCGTCGATATGGAGCTAATTTACGACTTTTTTATAGCTTGATCAAATTCAGTCAATTGTGGAACGTTGTTCGGCGGTGAAGAGTTTGGCTTTTTGTTTCGGGAATTATGGCGCATCACTACCGTATGTTAACAGTTATTTCACAGATCACTGGAAAATGATGGATTTAAGCAGAAACAATCTAATCCACAAAAATCCTTCCACTGCGATGCAAGGAACCTGATTCAAATTCAGGAGTTCCTGGCTGGCTCACCACATCTAGCCTATCGAGGTGGCCAGTACATCTTGGTTCCCACCCAATCAACGTTTAACGACTGATCAACTTTACACACTTTTATTCATTGCAGCATAAGAAAGACCGTCAATTTTGCATATCTCAGTGAACTGAGCAATTTGCGAGCCATGTCGATAGCGTGCCACACTGGACATTTTAATCTGATTTTATTCAAAAATCCCAGAGGCTATCCCAAACTGAAGGTACCCACTTTTCTGAAGCTAATTTTACCAACGGAAACGACGAGAACTAGGAACAGGGGTAAAGAGAAATAGTTCATCTAGTAATTCAAGAGGAAAGTCTAGAATTAAAATTCCCAAACTCGACTAATTTTATGAGTCCAAAACAGAGGACCAGAGATCCGGAACTGCTTGCTTATCGATTGACTGAGTGGAGCAAGATGATCATACGCCCAAGAACAAGCTAATATTGGGGCATCAATAGCACGCCATGACTCAAAATGCCCGTTAAAAGCAAAATTACGAGATTGATTAAAAGCAAACTATGAGCTCTCGTGCACCTGTTGGTGTATACGCCAACTGGGCACCTACAATAGTTTACCGCAAAAACGCGTAACGAAGTCGGCCACCAGATGTGAAGCACCACATGTTTATTAGAACAGGCTGGGAGAAATCGATGATCGAACGAGGAAGTGAAGTGACAAAATGACTGTTGATCTATGTGTTGAAGTTCGGTTTCGGGGCGAAAGGCGGAAAATTTGAATGATTCTGTGTTTCGTCGAGCATTTCTGTCCAGGAAATCGAAGGACGCAACGTTACAGCGTCAGTACTTGCCAACGGATGATGCCTCTTGGGTTACACCAATTACTAGCGTTTTAAGTGCTCTGGTAGTACCGAAGCACAGAACAGTGGTTGGTTGGACAGACTGCTGAGACAGCGCTACAATGAAGATCTTTCGCGAAAAAGCTCACTCCTTTGACGGTGAAATTCCTCTAAACATAACATAACACGTGAAACATGAGGATGGCGAACCTCCGTCATAAATCTGAGGGACTGGAGCGTGAGACCTCGCTTCAGTGGTTGTTTGACTGTGTTGCTGTAGATCTCCAGTAACTGGTGAACCTTTCGGGAGATGTTCGTGGTCAGCTAAACTTGGGTGGTGGAAACGTGCATGCTTCTGGGAAAACAGGTGCATCACTTATCACTATCAAATCAAAAAGCTGGATGGGCAACCGTTCTCACAATAATCCGAATTCTCTTTCACAGCAGAATTTTATCTTTTCCACGAGCGAATTTTTTGACTGAATATTTAATAAATGTGGGAAATTTAGCGAATCGAATTGGAAGGGATGTATATGCAACAGCGTCAATTCGAAATCTTCCTTGGCACCTTCAAACCAACTGGAATTACTTCGTTCGAACTTCGCTTCGTGACAGTGGACAGCGAAAATCGTTCCAGCACATTCGTCCATTTGGACAACAGCTTGGTCACCCCTGAAACAGCAATCCTGTAAAAAAGTGCTGCTTTCGTAATTGTCGCTGCTCTGACTAAATACAATTGTCGCCAATGAAAGTGCTGAAATTCCACAGTCTCTTTGTACATGAAACTGAATCTGCTTCCATAAAACCGAATCGCATTAGAAAGTTATCCATATTATTCATCATTCTGAGACCAATTACCATCCCATCTTTCGGACCCACATCACATCGACAAATACATTCCATACACACACACACACACACACACACACACACACACACACACACACACACACAC